GTTCGAACATTAACCTTACGATATGATATAGTAATTTTTCTCAAAATAAATTTGTTTAATTTAAAAAATAGAATATATATTATATCCGAATATATTTGCAATATATGAAATTATATTTTTTTTTTCATAAACAGCATTTCCAAATAATTAATTTAATTCTATGCTATTTCGTTTATTTCTTTGTAATAGTTAAATTTTTTATATAAATAATTAAGTAAATATAAATTATTAACATTTCAAATTAATTTTATTAATTTTTTTTTATTTATAAATTCAAAATATTTCATTGTATTATTAAAAATGAAGAAAGAAGAGAGTCAAAAAAATGTAATAAAAATGTTCTTTAAAATATAATAATCAATGTTATATTTCTTTAATATAAAAATAAATGAAATTATTAATTAAAACATTAAAAAAAAAAAAGGTGAAAATAGAAAACTATTATTTTGAAAAAACGATCAGGTATTCGAAATAATTAAATAAATTATGTATTTAAAGTTTTAATTAATTTATATACATAAGAATTATTTGAAACTTTTGTTTTTTTAAGTCTACTTCACAAATTGAGACCTGAATTAATAAAATATTATACATATATATATATATAATTATTCTTTTATTTTCATTCATAATATTTTCTATTTTTTTAAAAATTTATTTCAAAAAAACGCTTTTTTTTTATTTTTATTTAAAAATAAATAATGAATACCAATATTATATAAAAAAAATTCAAAGAAAAAATCCCACTCAATTTCAAAAATGAAAACAAAATTAAAATTTAATAAGTATAAATTACCTATGTTAAAATAATAAAAATTATTTAAAAAATTAACATTTTTTTTTTTTTTAAATACAAACTAATATATAATTAATAGAAAAAATTTAAATTATAAAATGTGTAATAGTTCATGGATAAAATAAAAGCAAAAACTAAATAAATACATAAAAATAATTTTTTTTTTGTTTTTGTATTCAAATTTAAAAATAGTATAGTGTTAAGATATTTAAAAGAAGACGAAAGAAAAAAAAAATATTTTCCTACAGAGTATTTTATGAATTTTAAACTATAAAATTTAATTAAATTAATAAAGAAAATTATTATGTGTTTCAATTATTAATACAAAATTTTACTAATAAAAAATATTTCAATTTTTAATTTAATTTCGAATTTGAAAATTCTTAACGAAAAACTTTTTTTTTTTTAATTAACAAATTTTATGATAACGAAATATGATAAAGGTTTCCAAAATTCTTAATTTCTTTTGAAAAAATTCTTGAAATTATTTTGTTTCTAAATAATTTATTTACTTATAAAATTTTAATTCAATATTAAATTAATATTATTTATACCTATAAAAATAAATATTGAATCACATTTATATATATATTTTTCAATTTATTCAATTTTGCATTTAAAAAATATAAATAAATGTATGAATTTACTTACATAAAGTAAATAATAAAATACATAAATATATTTAAATAATTCTTAATTAATTAATATTAAATATGTTCAAAATTCGTCTAATACTCTGACTGAAACTGAATAAACAAAAAAAAAAACACAATATTAATTATATAATATATTATAAATCATCATCAATTTCAATATATAGGTAGAAATTATTTTAAAAAAATAATAATTATTATTATATGAATACATAATTGTTTTGGTTTAATTAATTAAATATAATTTGTAATAAATTTTTTTTTTAATTATGTAACTATTATTATTATTAAATAACATTCATTATTATTACTAATTATAAAATTTATAATTTTTTATTTCAATTAAAATTTATTTTTATTTTTTGATAAATTGAAAATATCAGATGAATTGAAATTTAAATTTCGAAAATTTCTATAAAAATTTATGAAAATATTCATAAAATATAATAAAGTAAAGTAAAGAAAAAAAAATCCGAAATTCTAATTATATTAATGATAATATGTTATAAATATAAATAAAATAAAAGAACAATTATAATAATTAATTAGGAATATTTTTGAATTAAAAAAAAAAAATTATGTAAAATCGTTTAATAAATGTAAATATAAAATTATATACAAAAATAAAAATATCTATATTTTATATAAATATAGACGATAGAACAAAAAAATAAAATCGAATTGTGAATTAAATAATTTTTTTTTTTTTTTTTTTTTTGCAAATATTAAATTTTAGTTAAGAATTGAAAATTGAACGAAAAATAATATTCAAAACAGAGAAAAAAATATTCATTTAAATAGTAATTTATATGCACACATAAATATAATTATAAAATACGTATTATACCGTGTGCATAAGTGCATATATATATATAATATGTGTATTTAAATAAATTATGAATAAAAATAAAAAAAAACTAACCATTTAATATTACATATATACAATTATATATTAACAAATAATATTATATATTAAAAATTAAAAAAAAAAAGAAAAAAACATAAACAAAAGCTAACCTTATTATAGTAAATATAAAATGAAGCCCTATGCTATGTATTATGTACAATATGGCAATATAGAACACATGATAAAGTCATTGAAATCCTTCTTATTTTTTCCTCTTATCGTTTTGTTTCGTGGAAAATAGATAAACTTATCGTAAATATTAAACTGAAAATTAATTAATTGAATATTATATTGAGGAATTTTAAATATTTTAAATTTATCATGGAGGACCGTATTAACTTGAACAAATTTAAAAAAAAATGAATTGGAAAAGTTTATATTTTTCGAAATTTAAAAAAAAAAAATTTATTGTATTAAAAGAAAACTACGTTTTTCATTCAGAATCGAATATTTATTTCTGTTAATTTACACGTATTTCGTGCACTCGGAAAAAATTCTTTAGAAGGAAATCTGCTTTAATAAAGTGAGCAAGAAATATACATATAATCTTGTAGCGCAAGAAATATACATACATACTAGCTGAAATAAATATATTTCCTACCAAAAATGCGGATCAAATGTCACTTATTTATAAGCCAAGTGATTTGTCTCAATGCAATGCCATTTCGAGATTCGCCCAAAAGCAAATCTTTAAAAACAATTAAGAAATTAACAATAATTTTTGAATTAAATTTAAAAGAAATTATTTATATTAAGAAATTTTGTTTAAACTATTATTATTAATTCATAATATCGAAAAATCACTTCCATTAATCAAAAATAAAAAATTCATTTTATATTAACTGTATTAGATAGGGGAAGCTTCGTCATAATAATAAAAACAACAAGTTAATATTTAAAATTGAAAAACTTATATACAACAAAATTAACATAAGAAACCAAAGACTTGAATAAAAACAAAAAAGAATATTAAAAAAAAAAGAAAACAAAAAAAAAATGTAATCATATGAAAAATATGAAGCGTTATAAGAAAGCTAAAATAAAAAAAAATAAAAAAAAAATTAATTTATATATTAATTAATTTAATGAATTAAAAAATGAAATCAATAAATAAACAAATTTAAATATAAAATTTAAAAAAAAAAACCTACATATTTGCACTTATTATGATTATATATTTAAGGTAACAGAAAAAAAAATTAAAAATAAAACAAAAAAAAAAAAGTTATGATAATTAAGAATCGTAAAAATAATATATACATACATATATACATGCACGTACGTATGTTTGTATATATATATATATATTATAATAAATATATGTATATTATATATGAATATATAAATACATATATATTGTATAACTTTTAAGAGAAAACAAAAAAAAAAAAGAAATTTATTGAAAAAAAAAGAAACAAAAAAAAAAAATAAATAAAATTATTTATAATAAATATGAAAAATTTATGGAATGCAAAAAAAATAAACTCTTATTATTTCAAGATTTTATTTAAATTTCTAATTATATTCATTACCTTTTTCATAATATTTATACTAAGATCCTTGACATTATTGCCACAAATGAAAGTGAATGAAAGATTTAAATGATAAAAGGTGTCATTCTCATCAATATTTACATTCTCAGTCAGTCCTTCTCTGCCAATTAGGTATTGTGTTGAACACAATGTTTGCGGGAAAAGGGGATTTTTGATCATTCAGATATGTACTGAAAGTTCCTAATTAAATCTTAAAAGTCTTTTCATACATTATGTACATATGTACTTACAAATATTTAGAAGATGGATAAATTACTTTTTCAGATTCGTAATATACTCGAGTAATTTTGTGATAACCAACGTTTTTCAATTATGCTCAAATTTATGGCTTTCTAATTAATAATATTTTTGCAGTATATAGTTATTAAAAAGTTTAAAAATAAGTTAGAACTGGGGTCTTTCTATGTACAATTTGATTAGTACTACTTTATAATTTTTCCGAATACGAAAATCGAATTACTTAAATAGGGTCCCAATATTTAACTGTGGAATTCACAATGAGTACAACGTCTTATCTGAATTTTTGTTTTTTCTTTATGAGCTCTATCTTCTCTGAGCTTATTCTAAATTCATATTTCTTGAACGAAGATCGCACTTTAAATTAATTAATTTAATTAAAATAATTAAAAAGCCTCAAATTACCCTTTTTTTTTTTAAATACAAAAATTCATTTGAAGTTTATGCCTTTAAACAGAAAAGTTTTTCATCTTTCTACGTAAAAAAAAATCTAAGGCATAGGGCATCTACTAAAATTCTGTCTATCTAAATACAGATCTGAATTGAGATAAACAAAAGGAAAACAATGAAAATTTATGTACATATTTGCAAGTAAAGTGGGTGTATACAAAATTGCAGTATAGATTTGTAAGTGCAATTATTTTATCTGGTACAAACACTTGTATGTATGCATGTATATTCTTCCACAAATTTTTTGTTCATCAATTCTTGAAGTACTTTTTATTTGAGAATCGCAATAATCATGGAAGCTGGTGGAAATTGAAATGAATTTGATTTGATCGAAATGGGTAAACAATTAAAAATTGAAATTTTGAGAATGGACGAACAGTTTTCAGGCGATAAAAGAAAGAAAGTAGTGGAGTTTAGAGTGTTATTTTTAATAGCATCAAAATTATCAAATTAATTTACATTTTATTCGTAGTGAAATTATAAAAAAACTTCCAAAACTTTTAAACTAATTTTCAAAAAATCAAAAAATTTAATAAAATACGGAATGAAATATTATATAGTTATTTTATGACTCATTTAACGAGCTGATACGTGGAACTCCTTCGAATATAGATCCGTTTGCCAACACATTCGTCCAAATCGTATTTAAGAGTTTTCGTCAAAATAAACTACTTATGTTTATATCTCTACTCAAACAGTTATTACGTAAATCCCATTAATTCATCTAATTTTTTAATAAATATACTCATATCACCCTTTTTATATGGCAATAATTCATCAAAATTTGAAGTTAAAATAATTTTTTGTAAATCATTAGGCTCACAAACAAATAAATGCTTTTGCTTAAATAATTGGGTGGCAAGTTCATTCTGGTGATTATTCATTAATTCAGTATTAATCACAGCTATTAAAGGTTTATTATAATTTAAAACTTCTAAACAAGTTCCAACACCAGCATGACTAATGACTAAATCAGCATTACATATATCATCGCTAATACTTGGTTTCGTCCTATATGTTTGTACATCTATTGTAGATGATTCGAAGTTTTTGAAATCAAAATCAGTTCCATTTCCGAACTGTACTGTTAGATTTTTACATTCTAATTTTTGCAAAACTTTAACAAATTCTTGTTTTTGAATTTCATATATAAGTTCATTGAATTCTGTAGTTCCAACCGTCACAAATATTTTTTCAAATTTTTTCATCTAAAAATTAAATTTGTTAGTTTCAAAATTAAATTTCTATGTATTATACCAAATTGTAAAAAAAAATAACAAAATTACCTTTATTAATAGGAGTATATTATATTATTTTTCAAAAAATTTATCGATTATTTAAAATAGATGTAAAATTATAATTCTTTTTTAAAATTAAGCTTTTTTTTTTAAATTAAAATTATTGACATTTAAAATTTTTTGCTACGTATGATTTGAAATTTTGTTATATTATGTATTTTGAATAAAATTTGACATTTCAAATCAAAACAATATCACCTGATTAGCCGGTTGAAAAGTAAACAATAATTATTAAAGTGAGTTTATACAACAGACATGCAAAATTTGTACTTTTGACAGTTCGCATATTTTTTTTTAGAAAAACTAAAAGGAAGTGATGAAATTTTAATTTCCAAATATTTAAAAATGGTCTAGTCTCTTATTTGTGTAATATGTAATTCTCTTCCTTTTAAGTTTTTTTTACCAAGAAAAAACCTACATAGTTACAGCGTTGTAAAAGCGAAACTAAACCAGAGTGTGATAGTCCTCCAACTCTTGCAAGAACGTAATATTGTATGTATAATGATTGTAAAATTTTAGAAATTTAACAAAATTTAAAATATGTAAATTTTGAGTAGTGCATATGTTCAGGAGCAATTCGTACATGCAAATGCCTGAGATGAGTTTAATTCATCTTCAAGTTGAAGCAGTATTCAAGTTGATTTTTTGAAGAACATGCATTTTACAAAATTCAATAAGTGCTTTTAAACGATTTTTTTATACTGAGACCTCATTTCTTACGAACATTTTTACTGTTCGGAAAACTAAAAACTATTTAATTTTTTTAGAGGAAAAATAAATTCAACAGAAATTTAGAGTAGATAAATAAATATAAAATGTATAAACTAAGCTATAGAAATTCAGAAAATTTTATCACGGTATCTCATGCCTTGTAAAATATTGGTAAAAATTTTCCAATAAAATTTTTAAAACCTTTGAAATTTAATTGGTTATAAAAATAAAACAAAATTTTCTTTATTATATTTTATATATTTAAGAATTTTCTTCAAACATACTTTTTAATTTTGTTTTTTTCTTATAATCATTATTTAATAAAATCAATAATTTTCTCATACCTATATAATTTAAATTTTGTTTTTATTTTTTCCACATTAAACTTTACTACAAAAAAAAAACAAAATTTTTTTTTTTTAAATATTACAAAAATTTTAAAATATGCGAATAATTTTCCATTTTTTAATAGATATTTTTATATGATAATTAAGATACAGTACAATATTAAGTTATATGAATTATTTACTTAATATATATAAAAAAAAAATAACGATTATTTTTTTTCTCCTTTACTAAAGATAATGAATATGAAAATTCTATGTAATAAATTTCTATATACTATATATAATATGCATAATATGAAATTTTAAAAAATATTATTTATTCTTTTTTTTTTCTTTAATAAAAAGCTGCATTTTTAGATTGGACAATGACACTGATGTAGTTTAAGATGAATCTTATAATAAAATACTTGTTATATAGAAGTTGTCTACTAGTTTGTTTTTGCAATCGTTAATACTCTCAAATACCACCATAAAAAAATCTTAAATGGGTTTTAATGTCATTTCATCAGCTTTTGATCAAAATTTGTAACTAAAATTATATTAGTAAATACAAAAGTTTAATTCTTGTTCTAAATATTTTTAAATAAATTACATATATATATTGTTGTTGAAAACATCAGGTTTCAATATATTTTGCGGGCAGCGTTTCCGTTCAATGTCCATTCAAATGAAGTCATTGATATATTTTTTAAACAATTTTTTAATATTTTTTTTATAAATTTTGCTATTTAGGACCTTTTATAACCTTACTGAATATGGGCTTTAAAATACATAATTTCAGTATTTCTTTTTACATAATATCAATTTTCAAAATTTTTTTGTTTTATTTCATGCTAAATCGAAAATTTTTATTATAAAAATATAATATTGTGAAAATGTTTAATTAACTTGATTTTATTAAAATACCATTAATTACATATTAACGCAAAACTAAAACAGATACTTGCTCAGAATATAAGTCGGAAACCTGACATAAATAAATTACAAAATCTATTATTATGTTTATTAATGCTTTCAGTTTATATAATTAACTTAAAGACATTAGAGATTATTCAGTACTAAAATTTTTTTTTATTTATTTTTCTCATTTTTTTTTGCTTAATTACTAATAAAAATTATGTAAGTAATATATAGTGTGTATATTTGTAAATATTAAAAAAAAAAAAAAACTAATTATAACAAAATTATATAAATTTAAAAAAAAATAATAATAAAATGAAAAATTGAATATTGTTATGTGCTTACATTTCTAATTATTATTTAATTTTTATTTCTTTTTTATATTATTATGATTATTTATTATTATTTAGTATTATTTTTATACTATATAGTTATTGGCAACAATTGAAAATATAATTTATTCAAAATAACAACTGAAGACCATCTGCCATTAAAACTACACACGAAAACGCAATGTTTTGTAAAATTAAAATATAAAAAATTAAATCAAATTTTAAACAAAATTCCAATAATATTAAAACCTTTTTAGCTTGTTTGAGAATTTCAGTATATAATACGTACATGGTAAAATTGTAAAATAAGAAAAAATTTACAAAAATAAAATGCTTAAAAATAAATTTTCAATAATAATTTGAGTTTATGAATATCGAAAGAAAATTCTTAATAAAAATTTAAAGATTTGTTTTTATATCTGATTTACGAAATAAAATTAAATATCAGTCTATTATTTTTGATGATGAAAAATTCATACATTTCAGATATATTTTATATATTTACGTTTAAATTGCATCTAATATTTTACCTTATTACGAAAAATTTAATTTACATTTAAAGTACATTTTTTTTTTTTTTGAAGCTCTAGTTTTTTTTAAACTCCATTGAAAAATACTAGAAAGTATAAATCATTTTAAGTAAATTATTGAACATAATAGTATTCATGTATTAAATTTTTGCTTAAAAATAATAAAATTATGTTGATAATATTAATTTAGTAATTTCGGAAAACTTTATACAAATTTTAAAATACTTTTTTTTTATTTTAATTTTATTTAATCAATTACAAAACATATATTGTAACTATTTTTCGTGTTATTTTGAATATATTAATAAGCTCTTAATTCATAATAATTTTGTTACATTATTGTTATATAAAATCTTTTCGTCCAATTTAAAGATTTTCGTTCGTTAGAAACTTCACTTAATATCCTGCGATTCACATTTTCACTAATATACCAAAAATAAATTGTTTTTAATGTTATTTTTCATTAATTTTTAAAATTAATCTAGGAAATTATGTATGTATTTGGGCTATGTATAATTTTTTTCAATATTCATAGAAACAAATAAAAGTTAGCAAATTTAAAGAGGCAAGAACATAAGATTTGTTTTATAAAAATTTGCAACTATAAGATTTTCATTTCATCACAAAATCTATTCACTAACCAAATTCTCAACTATATTTCCAATTTAAAATTTAGGAACATTTTTTCTTATTTCGAATTTCAAGCTCTAATTTTTATGTTATAACGAAAGCTTGGATCATATAAAAATTCTTAAAGCTGCTTTAAATAAAAAAGTAATCAAAAAAGAGCAATTCAGAAAAAATACAAATATTTTTTCATTATGAAAAATTGAATGTTTTTTGTTCAAAAAAAAAAAAAAAATAACTTAATGTTCTCTTTTTTAAATATTACTCGTATGTGTTATATAAGAATTGTGAATCTTTAATACCTAATCTAAAGCCCCGAAAGTTTTAACGGAATAGTGCACAGCTAGAAATCTCAATAACACAAATAAAAAAAAATTTTATTAATACATAAATGACGCGCCTGTTCTTTTTTTTTTTTATTGAGGGGGTTGATATCCATACGAGTAAGAACCAGGTGGTGGAACTTGGGGGGGCCCACTAGGAGGCGGCCTGTAACCTTGGTAACTTTGAGCAGGAGGATATGGACCTTGCTGAGGAGGCATAGGATATTGTTGATGATAACCATGATATCCACCAGGAGCATAGGGTTGACTTGATGTCGGTGGTGCACCATACTGAGAACCTCCAGGAGGAGGAGGTTGATATTGAGCACCATTAGAAGTTGAACCTGGTGGACCTGTAGGCGCTTGAGGTTGTTGATAACCTCCCGCTTGTGGAGGTCCTGGTGGACCCGGCGGTCCAGTAGGGCCCGAAGAAACTGGAGGAGATGTATATGGAACTTGTTGATTTGGTGGCGGTTGATTTTGTGGAACCGTTTGGGGAGGGCCATAAGGCTGCGAAGTTGGTGGTGGAGGCTGCTGCTGCTGTTGTTGATTTGGAGGAGGTTGATGGCTTGACGGATGTTGCTGTTGTGCTGTAGAATGTGGAGGGGGTTGATGAGAATTAGGCGCTTGAGATACTGGTGGCTGCTGAGATTGCGAAATTGTTGTGTTAGGAGCAGAGTTAGAGCCTTGCTGCTGTTGAGCTTGTTGTTGATTAGGTGGCGGTGTCTGACCCGGCGATGGAGAAGAACTATAATTACTACCCGTTGTTGTATTCGTACCAACTGGAGGCGCACTAGAAACCGTAGGAACTGCACCCATGGGCTGCTGCTGTTGTTGCGATTGTTGTTGAGGCGGTGGTGGACCGCCATACCCCTGATATCCCTGTGATGGTGGAGGCGGATATGTTCCTGGTTGAACTGGAGGTTGCTGATTTGGTTGTCCATATGGTTGACTTGGTTGGCCATACGGTCCAGTTTGACCATGAGAATAGCCATAGCCCATATTGGAAGGTGGAGTACCTCCTAATCATAAATAAACAAAAAATTTGAAATGTGCTGGAGACCAAATTGTGGAAGTATATAGTTTTTACCGGCACTCTGAGGCGGAGGAGGATATTGACCTGGGGGTGGTGCTTGTCCACCTGGTCCATACATTTGAGATGGTGGGGGTGGCCCTTGCGATTGCTGTTGCTGTTGTTGATTAGGCGGTGGAGGATATGCCCCAGGAGGTGGTTGGGGATATGGGTGTCCTGGGGGACCTGGTGGTGCCCCTGATGTAGGCGGCATCCCGGCATGATGATAACTTTGAGTATTTGGAGGATAACCTTGACTTTGTCCATAAGGGTTTGGATAACCTTGTTGATAAGGTTGTGATTGAGGCGGAGGCGGGTATCCTGGATAACCATGTTGTTGATAAGCACCTCTGTAAGGTTGTGGCGGTTGCTGCTGCTGCTGTTGTGGTTGTTGCTGTTGAGGAGGTGGTTGTTGATTTGATTGTGGACCGGGTCTCTGGTTCGGTTGATCTAAAATATAAGAGTTTTAAATTAGTAACGCATATTATCTTCTGCTTAATGATTTATCAATTGGAATTCAATTACTGATCCGCTTACTTGGCGTAGAAGTTGGTGGCCCTTGTTGGGCTGTCGCTTGTTGCATACCCGGTTGTTGAGTGTTAGGTGGAACTCTGTAAGCATTCATACCACCAGGTTGTTGTTGACCTCCTCCTTGTGGAGGTGGAAGTTGGTTTGATTGCGATTGTGGCGCTTGGCTTGAAGGAGCCTGTTGGGGAGGTTGTTGAGCTGTTTGCTGCGGATTTTGGGTTTGTGGAGGCGCATTTGGTCCCATATTTGGGTGGGAAGATTGATTAATAGATTGCTGACCATATGGGGGCATATTGGGACCTCCAGGCTGTTGTTGTGTTTGCAAATCACTCGGTTGACCATGTGGTGGTGGCATATTAGGAGCACCAGACTGAGCAATATTTGGTCCACCAGGTTGTTGTTGAGGAGGAGGCTGTTGTGGACCTCCCATCATTGCATGAGGCGGAAGTTGACTCTGCTGTGCCAGTATGTGTGGTGGCTGAAAATTTTTAAGATATCTTGAACTTCAATTTTTAAAAAATACTTATGTATGTACATATAAAACATAAGGGATATCTCTTTAATTTTTCAATAAAATTCTAATTTAAATAAGAAAATTATATTTTACATAAAAAAGTGTTTTAGTGTTACCACTGCAAAAAAATTTACATTGGCCTCTTAGTATTATTGTTAACTAAATTAGTTCGATTTTCTCGGTTGATATAAAAAGTACACAAAAATTTTCAAAAATAGATAAAACCCATATATATATATATGTACATATATTCGTATGTAAATAATCTTAGGCATAAAACACACATGAAGCAAAACAAAATTAAGATTATAAAAAACCATAGCAATTTCGCATCTCGATTTGCCTCTTGTACATTTTGCGTGTTTGTTCTACCAACAAAAATATGAAATATACTTCATTACTATGACCTGTATACTTCTTGATTCATATTTAACAATTTCCAATTCAATACATTTTAAATTTGTATTTATAACTTTTCAAAATATTTTTAAACCTACTTAGTTTATTTAGTTTCTTTATGTTCTGCATGTTAAAAAGTTGTCTCTTTTTGTTTCTTAATACATATAAAAGAAAATTCCTTAATTTATTACAAAACTTACTGGTAGTATTTGCGAAATATTTTGTGTCGAATCAGCTAATTGTGCCAAATAAACTAAATTTCTATGTAGCGCTTGCTGATATGACATGCATTCATTTATTTTCCCCATATTTTGAAAATCTTGGATAGTTTGAATAAGACCACAATTTTCATCTAATATTTTTTGAATATGAGCCGGACTCGGGGGAGGAGGAACACTTCTTCCAGGGCCGGGTGGATGACCTGGAGGACCACGTTGAGGTTGCATTACACCTGGTCCTGGTGGCATTTGCGGTTGCTGCATGGGCTAAAAATATAATTAAAATATTTCAGACAAATGCGTTTTATTTTTCCATTACATAATGTTTTCTCGAGAAAAATCAAAATGTATTTGCTTATTTTGAGTTAAAGTTTTCAGTGGAATATGTATGTATGTATGTGGGAAATTTACCTGTGATTGAGGTGGTCCCCCAGGTATTTGCTGTTGCTGTTGCGGGGATTGTTGCTGTCCTGGTCCAGACGGTTGACCTGCTCCTTGTTGAGGATAAGCTTGCTGAGCAGGTGACATTTTTGCGTTAGCTTTTTCAGATTTCTTTTTTTTACCTATAAGGAAACATTTTTCATTTTGCAGCCAGACAATGGAAATATATTTTTCTGATAATCTTACCTTTAAGTGTCATTTTTGCAGTTAGTTATAAATACCTAAGAGTACAGTTAGAGTTATCGAGTAAATATAGATTTATACGATTCAAAATTTCAAAAAACTATTGCAACTTTATACTTGATTAAAAAAATTCAATATAATTTTTCAAAACATTTTCTCTTTTGTGCAAAAGCCGACGCGTTTAATGTCAAATATGGCCGCCAAGATATTGTATTTTGACATTCAAATTTCGAGAATTAAAAACTAATTATCAAAGTATTGCCAAGCCCGCAATTCTCATAAATTTTGCTGATTACATAAAATAAAGTTCTTAATTTTATCTTCAAATAAATATTGATGGGATTCAATATTTACAAACGTTTAAAGAATAAAATACTATTTTTTAAAAAAATATATGTACGTAAGTGTAAACGGCTGAAAATAAAACAAAATATAACATACTTTTATTGTGGATGAAATTTTTTTTGTTACGCACTATTTTAACATAGCTACAGGGGTTTGACCGTTTAACGCTTTGTATGTACGTTATAAGCATATTCTAAATAAGGTGCAATTGACTCTATCAATCAAAAATCAATGTGAGGTTAGACTTGCCAAAATGTAAATTTGCCAAAATCTTCAAAGGCAATCTAGAAAATCCGGTTAGCGTTGGATTGTCTAATTTCTTTTTGGAAAATTATATGCTAAATTAGAGGAAAAAACTGTAACCATTTTTTACTCGTTAAACTCCAAATAAAATTTCTTGATTTTTTAAAAATAAAACTAAACATACTTTAAATTCAAATTTAATAAATTGGCAGAAAAAGCTACATATGTATGTAAATTGAATAAAGCCCAAAATTATTATTTTTAATATTGCAGTAAGTTTAAGAAAATTAAAATTATACATAAATTGTTAGGTTTTTAGTTCGAATTCAAATTGATAAGCTAGGAGTTTGAAATGGTCTGATTCAAACTCAAATAAATCTGCCAAAATCGCTAAATAAATTTTATTCATAAGTAAAAGTCAGGTAAAATAATTAAAATTTTAAAAAACCTATAAACTTAAAACATTAAAGAATATCAAACGTTTATAATAATGAACAGAATCTCCAAAGATATATGAAAATGAGATACTAGAAGAGAAACATTTTAGATCCCCCACTTATAGAACAACAATCGAATCGAAAATACTTTAATATGGAATGTGGTTTAATATATATTTTGTCAAACCCTGTATAAAACAATCGATTTTGACACAAACAACAATAACACAGCAAAGTAATCAGTAATCAAATCACTAGCGAAGCGGCAGTTTTCAGAAATAAGATGTAATAAAAGAAAAAAAAGTTAAAATAACATATTGAAAAAACCAAAGAAAAAATAATGATTACAAAATTGTTTTACATCTTCTTGTTAATCGGGTTATCTGTGCAAGAAAATGAAGAGTTCCACGAGGAAATTTATATTAGGCCTTTACCAAGTGGTCATGTTAATACGTACTTTCAATTTACAAATAGATGGAAATTAAATTTTCACCAAAATTGTAAGTCGTAACTTTAGAAATATCATCTTAATCAAAATTAATCTTATTTTTATTAAAGTGGATCATACAAATTTGATGCCATTGTCGGTCGCGGATATTTTAAGTAATTTTAATTTAAAAGAATTACATGTTAGTTTAACTCAGGGTCTATGGAGGTATGAATCGTTTGGGTATCCAATTATTGATACTTCGCCCGGTGCTGAAGTATATGCATGGTTTGGAGGAAAAAACTTAACAGAAACATTGGTAGATAATCAATGGAAGCATTTAGTTAGCATATTGTCAGGGATGTTATGTACATCACTAAATTTTATCGATAAAACAAACACCGTAAAACCAACGTATTCATTTCGGCCTAGGTTTGGTATCGCCGATCCTCAAGAGCCAAAACATATAAGGTACGCACTTTTCTTCAAAATATTACAGAAACTGATTTTTTAACTGCAGAAATTTGATTTAATTTGCAGATATGCTACATTGCCAAGAGAAATTGTCTGCACCGAAAATTTAACACCTTGGAAAAAATTCTTACCATGCAATAGTAAATATGGATTTGCTTCACTTCTTAATTCGGGTTTTGTTCATAATAATAATTATCACTCTCTTGGTTTAAACATAAGAACTATATGTGATGGTGAGATAAAAGAAGGTTGTATTATTGAGTTTATGCAGTTCGCAAATTTAGTTTATGACCCAAAATTATTGGGTACAAAAGATTTTTCATTGCGCCGAATGTTTGGTCAAGGTTTGAATGGAAATTGTGTATTGGCAAAAACAAGTAAAATTTATGTTGATGTAACAGAGGATTTGTATGATATAACACCCCAACCAGATAGGTATATCAATTTTTTTCGCGGTGGTTACCTTACTGCTCTCGGCGAATATGATATTAAAAAAATTACACCACAATCCTTGTTTAATATAGCATGGACTAAAAAAAATCAGTTAATTGGAATAATTCCACCTCCACCCATTTACATACATAGGTACATATTGGGACATGGTCAAGAACGTGGAAAAATATTGAACGAAATAACAAATACTCATTGGGAGCCTCTTAATATTATTCTCATGGAAAACATTCCATGGTTTGTTCCATCATATATTCACACACTAAAGATTATAACGGAGTAAGAAACAATTTAAATTTTCGGTTCAAATATAAAACAAATCATATTTGAAAATTCATTATATAATTTTATACGACATTGCAATTTTTTATTTTAGAAATGGTCTTCATATTGAACCTGCGTTCATTCATTATATACCTGGTGAACAAAGGGAGCGGCCATACCATTTGGAAGTAGGTATGGAAATTCCGCCGAAAACAACTGTTCGTGTACATTTCGACTTTGATTATATTTTTTTGAAATGGTTAGAATATCCCCCGGATGCTAATCACGGACATTATCTGGGTTCAGCAATTGTCAGCGTTAACTTACCTATAGGAAAAAATTATACCAGAATACCAATTGATGGATATTTAATTGCTCATTCATTTAATGCAAGCCGATCAAAATATTTTTTGCAACTGCATAGCGAATCACTTTTGTTATCACTTCCAACACCAGATTTCAGTATGCCTTATAATGTTATTTGTTTAGCATGCACCGTTGTAGCTTTAGCTTTTGGACCAATTCATAGCGTTGCAACAAAACGTATAGTAATTGAAAAAAATGAAGGAAAAGTTTCCGTTTTTAGTAAAATTAAATCAAAAATATTTGGGAAAAAAATTGAAACCGACATATTAGATGAGCCTGAACAAGAAAAGGAGGAAGAAAAGGATTTGAGAACAGAAAAAGAACAAATAGATTTAAACTAATTTAATTTGTACAATAAAAATATTCCAATTTTTGTTATTCACATTTTTCAATACTTTCTTTCATAAAAAAGACACAGGAATTTTTAGGCTGAAATATCTAATTTATTTCGTTAAAGAAAATTTCAACTTTACATGTTACATAATAATTTACTTTTTACACGCTCTTTAAATTTAAAGAAAGTTAAATATTAAAACAGCTTTAAGTCTGTAAATTTTCTCAAAAAATCAAGCAATAAAATATAAAATAATTGCTTGATCCTTTTTAATATGTACATATATAACAAGAAGTTTATAATTTTAAAGCTTTTTTAGTCAAATGTTTCCAAGTGATTGTATTTCATATAAATTTTTTGTAAAATATATCACCTCTCATAAAATATAATTTTTCTTAGTAGAGATATCTTAAATCTAGGCTTTCAAGATATTTTAAGTAAAATTTTTATTATCGTAATTGAAGACTGGTTTTATACATAATAGATAGTAAAGGTATGTCCAATTTTATCATTTTATGAAATTTTCGCCCAATCCGGCAATTTGGCTTCATATTTCCAATCAGGCCCTTCATATTTCCAAGCATGTAAATACATTATCAAATCTTTTGGTTTAGGATCTGCGAAATTTATTTTACATTCGTAGCAGTGTTCATCCTTAGTTAATTTTTTGGGGTCGAATTGTAAATCAGGTGGGTCATGTCCGGTTTGTGTAGCGATCGTCGTTTTGTTTCCTTTAGCATCACTTCTTATTTCAGTGATTTTATTATAAGTAACTGCATCAGTATTATTTTGATGTTCAAAGATATTTGAACAGTGCTCATCATTATTGTCAAATTTATCACCTTTTTTTGTATTTCCGGATATTATATTTTCTATATTAACATCAGAAACTTGGAAGGGACTAGAATCCCTTTCAGCACTCAACCAATTTTCTGCGTTATGAATTTCTATCAAATCTTTAACTAGCTGTTCATCACTTTTTCCACCAATATCACCCCCTTTACCCTTTTTTGGGCCAAAAACTTCATGATTATATAATGGATCATTAATTATAGGATACCCTAAAAACTGTAAATGTACTCGAATTTGATGCATCCTTCCAGTTCTTGGCTTACACAAAACAATACTACTTTTGCCATCATAATTCAATTTTTGGAAAGAAGTGCTACAATCTTTGCCTTTCGTTGATACTTTGCAGACTCCAATTTTATAACTTACTACTTCAATAGGTTCTTTACATTCAATTACACCATTTGGAAAATTTCCTTCTACACGACACACATATTCTTTTTTAACCTCCCGATTTCTTATTTGTACCTCCATTTCTCTTGCTTTCTTAGGGTTTCTTCCAAATAACAACAGTCCAGACGTTAAGCGATCCAAACGATGTATTGTTCTTAAATTTTTTAAATTATATTCTTTTGCCAAAATGAAAACAACAGTATTGTGTCGGTAACGTCCACATGGATGAACTGGGATCGAAGCTGGTTTATTAATTGCTACCATATTACAATCCATTTCGATAATTTCAATTAATTGATTTGTAACTGGTACTTCGTGTCTGTGAACTATGTTAGCCAGTAGATCATTATGTTTGAGAATGTAATTGGTTGAAACTTTCTCGTAGTTTACAGTTAAAGATCCCGAATTAATAGACCTTTCATATTCTTCTGCAGGGTGAGCCCGAAATTCCCGGGAAAAAACATCAAGAATTTTTTCGCCAACCCATCTGCCTTTTGTAAATGTTGTAAAAGTAAAATAATAAGGGTACACTTTGCGTAATCCATTTTCGAAATAATAAGATGTTTCATTATAGCGATCCTCCGAAAAACCGGGTCTCTTTGCTTTTAAATCTTTTGTTTCCAACTTCGGTTTTTTAAATTCTGAATTGCTCTGATTTTCTTGAGTTTTTCGTTTTTCTGGATTTGTAAGGGGCTTGTCTGCATTTGATTCACTTTTCGATAATGAAGAATAAGATTCGGAATCAAAGAACCATACACACTTGCTTTTATCAGCATTTTCCTTTTTAATATGTTCCGACGCTGGTTCTCCTTCATTAGAAACTAAATCATCATTTAAATATTTCGCACTGTTAAGCAGTTCAACCTCTTTAAAATCTAATTCTTCTATATTTGATATAGGCGAATGTGTTGTACGTAAAACGGTTATGTTCTCTTCATCAACAAATTTTGAATTTCCGTGTTGTGTTTGTGCGTGTTGAACACTTGCCATTTTATCCTTTAAGGATTTAACAAAAACCTTACTACAATAAAGTTTTGGGTAAAAAGTTTGGATTTCTTGAATCAATTGAAATTTTGTTCTGAGAAATTTCAACATTAGGAATTGTTTTATTAATTTGAGCTGATTTGTTTTTTAGCGAAAACCTCCATTAAAATATCTTAAAATATAAAATAAAAATTTAATGATGATTTTGAAAAAAAAAAATCTTTCTTTCGTATCAATAGAAATTGTATTTGTATATTTATTAAGTTAAAATAATAAACAAAAACAAACCAACGTGCAGAACTGGAAACTTTTATTTTTCATTTTTGCAAACGAAAACCCAATATAGTCAAAGCGATTTATATAATTAGCTGAAGTTGTTTGATGACAAACGCGTTTTTACATACATCATCTATTTTTGGAGGTTGACGGTCACTTCTCACAAAAATACTGATTTGTGTGAGAGAGCTGGAATACATGGTAGACAGTTACTTCCTGTGAAAACGGTTGAGGGTTACTTCCTATAAAAACATCTCTCTTTTCTCTACTTGACTTTAATGGGCTGAATGACATTTTTGTGGAAAGGAACCGTCAATTTGCATTTCATTCGAAAAATCCTTTGAAAAAGCGTAAGTATGGATTTACGCTTTTACTGGAAAAATTGTTGGCAGACAGTCACTTCAAACAAAATACCATTCAGCTCATTAAAATCAAATAGGATGAATTGATTTTTGTGCGAATAGCCGTCAACCCACATATATATCTATGTATTTTATTTGCTATGCTCTTTAATTCTTGACGCTCTTGAACAATGATTGTGTTTATTGTAAATTTTTACGATTTTCATTACAGTCTAAATGACATTATGTTGTACTCAACGTCAAAAAGCGTCGAGGCTAAAAATTAATGGATACCTAAGTTTAATTAAAATATCGGCTTACAGAAAGTTGGTGTATTAAAAGTGTTTCTCTGAAATTTTTACTTAAAAAAAAACGCAATCAAAATTTAGACGGAAATTCAATTTTAGTTAATTTCACAAACATTTTGTGAAAATAATTGAGCAGTAAATTTTAATGTCAAACATAATTTCAATCAATGCAAGTAATATTTGTTTTTTTAGATATGGATATAAAATCATTTTTTCATGAATGGTGCGCAAAAATGAAGGTGGAACATGAATTTAATATACGTCCTACAGGACCGAAACATCGTCAAAGATTTTTATGTGAAGTCAGGGTAAATACATTTTCTTATGTTGGAGTAGGAAATTCTACTAACAAAAAGGATGCTGAAAGGAATGCTTGTCGAGATTTTTTAAATTTTTTGGTTAGAAATGGAAATTTAAAATCAAGTGAAATACCTAATGAGTCTAGCAATTCGGCTGCAGCGCCTTCTAATGATTCAAATGATAAGGAAAAAGTTTTTGAGACAACCAATTTTACAGAAAGTCCTCGTCCAAATTTATTCGGCAGTGGTATGGGTCCTCAAGATCTGGGTCAAGCATATCGTGGAGTAAGTGGAGAGAATAAACATTACGATTTCATAGACCGTGCAGCCGAAAAACTAAATATGGATGAGGCTGAATCCTTAGATGTAAATGCTGGAATTCACGGGAATTGGACAATTGAAAATGCAAAAGCGAAACTTCATCAATTCATGCAAATGAATAAAATTCAAGCAGATTATAAATATACCCCTGTGGGTCCCGATCATTCCCGAAGCTTTCTGGCTGAAATGCACATTTTTGTTCGAGAGTTAAAACGTACTATTACAGCTAGAGAATCTGGATCCAATAAACAATCTGCAAGCAAATCTTGTGCTCTATCCTTAGTAAGGCAATTGTACCATTTAGGTGTAATAGAAGCTTTTTCAGGAACACTTAAAAAGAAAAAGGATGATGAAGAATTGAAATCATATGAAGTAAAGATAGCGCCAGAACTGATTGAAAAAGTAAGAAAGGTTGTTGAAGATTTAAACTTAGAGGTGATTACAAAAAATTCGAATAAAGATGAGCAATCAGAGTCAAATAGTTACAGTTTAATTGTTACTAATAAAAACGAAAATGCAAGAAAAAATATAAATAAAAACCAGCAAGGCTCGGTTATATCATGGTCCCCTCCTTTACCAAATTGGAATGCATGGAGTTCTTGCAATATTGATGAGGGTTATTTGGCAACTGCCTCTTTAGATGCGTTGTGTCAAGATTTGAGCTCCTCTTTTAGGGAAAAAAAAATGAATGATTCTGTATATCTAGAATTTGTCGAATTCAGAAATAAATTACCAATAGCAAAAATGCGGAATGAAATCATGTCGGCCATCAACGATAATCCTGTAGTGCTTATTCGAGGTAATACCGGATGTGGTAAAACTACTCAAATAGCTCAATATATTCTCGAGGACTATATAAATTCAGAACAAGGAGCTTATTGTAATATATATGTAACGCAACCGAGACGAATAAGTGCAATTTCAGTTGCCGAGCGTATTGCCAATGAACAAAATGAGCCTCTTGGTGAATCTGTAGGTTATTCCGTTCGATTTGAGTCAATGATTCCACGTCCCTATGGAGCTATACTATTTTGTACTATTGGAGTATTGTTAAGAAAACTTGAAGCAGGTTTGCGAGGAATTTCGCATGTAATTGTTGATGAAATACATGAACGTGATGTAAATAGCGACTTTTTACTCGTAGTTCTGCGTGATATGGTGCACACTTATCCAGATTTACGTGTGATATTAATGTCAGCTACAATAGATACTACGCTTTTTTCAGAATATTTTGGCAAATGCCCAGTATTGGAAGTACCTGGCCGCACATTTCCTGTTCAACAATTTTTTTTGGAAGATTGCATAGAATTGACAAAATTTGTACCCACAGCAGAAAGTCGCAAAAGAAAAAGGGAAGAAGAAAAGGAAGAAGATTCCACAGTAGAAAACGCCGAAGATGGTGGAGAACAAAATCTTAATAAAATTTGTGGACTTGATTATTCCATTCAAACAAAAAATTCAATGGCCCAAATATCGGAATCAGAGTGTAACTTCGAGTTAATTGAAGCAATATTTTTATATATCAAACAGCAAAACGTCCCTGGATCAATATTGGTGTTTTTACCAGGTTGGAATTTAATTTTTGCCATGATGAAATTTTTGCAAAACTCCAGAGAGTTCGGTAGTTCTACCTACAGAATTTTGCCGTGCCATTCACAAATTCCAAGAGAAGATCAGAGAAAGGTTTTCGAACCTGTCCCAACTGGAGTTCGAAAAATTATTCTGTCTACAAATATTGCAGAAACTTCAATTACAATTGATGATATCGTGTTCGTTGTCGATATCTGTAAAGCGAGAATGAAGATGTTTACTTCACATAACAATCTTACCAGCTACGCAACAGTTTGGGCTAGTAAAACGAATTTAGAACAACGTAAAGGTCGAGCCGGACGTGTAAGACCAGGATTCTGTTTTACTTTATGTTCCAGAGCTCGGTTTGAGAAGCTGGAGGAGCAATTAACACCAGAAATGTTTCGTACTCCTTTGCATGAGCTTTCATTAAGCATAAAACTTTTGAGACTTGGTTCTATTCATCAATTTTTGTCCAAAGCTATAGAGCCTCCTCCGTTAGATGCTGTAATTGAAGCTGAAGTACTTTTACGCGATATGAAAGCTTTGGATGAAAATGATGAATTAACACCACTTGGAAAAATTTTAGCACGGCTACCAATAGAACCAAGATTGGGAAAAATGATGATCCTAGGTTCAGTGTTTTCTGTAGCGGACCCACTTACCGCAATGGCTTCTTATTCCAGCACGTTTTCGGAAGTTTTTGCACTTGATATTGGACAGAGAAGATTGGCACCCCATCAAAAAAATCTTGCAGGGAATAAATGTTCAGATCATGTAGCTATGTTGATTGCCAGTCAAATGTGGGAAAGAGCTAAATATAAAGGCGAAGAAGAAGAAATACGTTTTTGTGAATGGAAAGGTCTTCAGTTACCCACCATGCGTGTTATGAATGAAGCGAAAAGGCAGCTTTTAGATTTGCTTCAGCAGGCTGGATTTCCTGAGGAATCTTTAGTGCAAATACATATTGACGCAAACGCTGATGATCCGCAACTAGACTTAACTATAGCTCTTCTATGCTTAGGTCTGTACCCCAATGTATGTTATCACAAAGAAAAACGTAAAGTACTTACAACAGAGTCAAAAGCAGCTTTAATACATAAAACTTCAGTTAATTGCAGCAATTTGCAGGTTACTTTTCCATATCCTTTTTTCATATTTGGCGAGAAAATACGTACCCGTGCAGTTTCTTGCAAACAATTGACGATGGTTGCACCATTACATCTAATGCTATTCGGATGTAGGAAAATAGACCTTGTTGAAAATAAAACTGTTCGTCTTGATAATTGGCTAAATTTTGACATGGATCCAAAAGCAGCAGCTTATTTAGCAGCTCTTAGACCAGCAATCGAAGATCTGGTAACAAAAGCTGCTGAATCGCCCACAGAAATTCTGAATTTAGAGGAACCATACGCTAATTTAGTCAAAGTCATTAAAGAATTATGTATAATGAATTCAGGGGACTATACTATACAAAGAGAAGTTGGTATTATGCCTAATCAACAAAGAAGTGGAAGCAATATGGGAGGACCTGGGAGAGGTGGTGGCAAGTACAGTCGTGGTAGTGGAGATTTTCGCGGTTCTAGAGGGGGAATGGGCGGTGGTGGAAGAATGTTTGGAGGTTTCGGTTCAGGGAGAAATAATTGGACAAACAGAAGATTTTAATAGAAATGATCTTTCAAATTCAAAGAAAATATACTTTTAATATATTTTAATGATTACCTTAAATTAATTTATGATATAATATATGAATAAATTTAGAAATAATATCAGAACGAAAATTTTTTAAAATTCTGTGATGTATTTTATATGGGATATTTTTACAAAAGCTACCTACTTATCGCAATTTCGATATTTTGAGTAAAGCCATTTGAGTACATACACATGTACTTTTGTTCTGTAAAAGCTTTTATTTTTTTATCCGGAAAAACACTGCAAAGTTTCTATACCAATACTGTTCAAAATATACAAACTTTTTGATATTCATGTATGTATGTATTGAAGTTTGTAACTGTTTCGTAAGGTACAAAAGGTATAAATAAGAGAACAAAATTTTGTTTAATTTTTAATATTAAGAAAATATTAGTGAACATGGGTAAAAAAATTTTTGCTTTAGACAAATCGTTCTTGCTAATTGTATACATACATACGTATGAACGAGAACTAAAATATTAAATCAGAGTAAATCTTCAACAACCAAAATTTTTTTTTTGCAGCTACAGTCCATTGATAATTTTTTGGTACTAGTTTTTGGTAGGCTTTTATGGGAAAAATGCTTTACTCTTTTCCTGTTGTTGACATTTGTCTTCTTTTTTCTTAAATCTTTTTATTTTTCAATCTGCTCTATTCAATAAAGAGTAAATTCTTTTTTGTATGCACTTACATATATAAAAGCGTGTATGTATTTAAAATTATTTTGAAGGGAGAAGAATATAAAATAAATGCCGATAATCTGAAAAGTAGGCGATTAATTAATAAAAAGAAAAAACGATTTTAGTATGTACATATGTATGTATATGAACATACGTACATATCGATAATAAAAAGGTATGTTTGTTTACTTTTTAACTAAAATTTATAAATTATATCTCAATTAGTTTGGATTTTTTCAGTAACAGAAATACGTACTAAAATTAAAAATAAATGGAAAAAGAAAATACATATATGTATTTATGTAAGTATATTTTCCGAATGTTCATTAAAAATAAAACTCACGACAACTCGTTTGCTTAAGCCAGAACATACTTTGTTAGGTTATGTTATATTCTATTAGTTCTAAGTAGATTGTAGTGTAAAAATTTACTGCACTTAAAATCCCCGTATATTGAAAAATTGAAAATGATAAATTAATATACAATGTAATTTTAGCTTTTTAAGTAATATAAAACTCAATTCAATTCAAATATTATTTCAAACTTTACAGTACGTTATATAGGGAGATAGAAATTTCAATTCAAATACTCGATCCGCCAATTCCGGCACATAAAGGAAGTAATTGTTTTTTTCGGAATTCCGGACAGTGAGAGAAAATTTGATGGAAAAATTATTGATCAAGAAACAGTTTTTTTTTTTATTTGGATTTTGTCGGTAGAATAAACCAATAAGTTTGTCCCACGGTTTACAGTATTACAGATGTAGCCGTCACTTTGGCCCAATCCTATTTCTAAATATTAAAACAACAAAACAAGAAGAAAAAATGGCATGTCTGTTGTCAAATTGAAATGTCAAGTTAAGTTTCTAAAATTGGAAAATTGGGTTGATAAAAAATTAAGTTTAAGTCTAAAATAAAAAAATCTTAAAAATATATTCAATAATTTTAATTAATATAAAAGTAGATAAAAAGAAAATTTAATTTTAATCATAACTTTAGTATTTGCAATATTAATGAAATTAATAAAATACCAAATTGTTTTGAATATGACCTATTTTCGTTTTAATAGAAACTAAATTCGTCCAAAAATACGAAAATAAAAATCTACATTTTTTAAAATGGAACATCGCTGAATAAACTGAAGAAAATCTATAAAGCCAATTTTGATATGGATGCTGAAGATGAAGATAAAAATAAAAGTACTGAAGATGAACTGTATTTGGATCCCGAAACGTGTAACTTACATGATGAAACGAATAATATACCAAAACAACAAAATACTAACACAGAATGTCAGCATAATGAAAATTCATCATTAAAAGAGAACGAAAAACCAATATCACCAAAAAATAGTGGTAATGAAAATGAGTACTTCGCTAATGAAGATGAGCAAAATGAAGAAGATGACGGTGATGGTGATTTGCATAATTTTATTACATGTCAGTCATCTTTAGGTAAGTTGTTTTTCTTTGTTTTGAAAAAATGAATAGGTGGGTACATAAAATTTACATAAAATTTTCTTTAGAAATACCTTACGCCGATGAGACAGAAGACTCCCTTAAGTCATCATCAGTAGATGCCACAAAACCCACGGAGTGTGATTCTATTTGTGATATAATTTCAACAAGTTTGAATGACTCGATTTTAGATAATAATAGCAAAAACTTTATATCAGCCACATCAGGTGATAATGATTTATTAGGAATTAAGCCTAATCAACAAGATCATCAGGTGCAGCAGCAAACTTCTCCATGTTCCTCTATATGTACCGGTGACGATAATGTTTCACCATGTTCCTCATCTGGTGGAAATTGCTCTGGCGTGCGTCGAAAATCTAAGCTAAATAATGGAATTGGCAGCGGGGATTTATCGGCAAATGGTACAAAAAAAAAGGTCAAAAATACGAATTATGGTATTATTCCCCACAGTCTTAGTAACAGTGGAGTTACTAAAAAATCTTCATCATACAGTGGGTGCGACGACTCCTCTGATTATTTTAATATATGGATATCAAGAGAGAATTTCGAAAATGTTCCTCCAGAAGTTAGTTTGGAAGCAGCTAATAATTCCCTTGAAAGTTCGCAAAAATTATCTGATGCTGCTGTTACAATGAGCCCGCTCGTAGGAATATCACCATCTAATAACACAACTTTAGGTAAAAAATGCTAAAATAATTTTCAATTTGAAATCGAAAACTTCTGAATTTTTTTTTAACTAATTAATTGTAGCCAATAAAATGCACCGTCCATTAGAGCGTTCTTGGCCTCCAAAAAATTCCAATTTGAACATAGTGAAAAAAACAAATTTCAGCGACCCTGGGGCAATGTCTTTGGGTGGTGATGTGTTTAAATTCGATATTATTGATATGGATGATTCTGACGAAATTTTTACAATTACTAAAGATGACTGCACAGATAATAGTGCAACATATAGACTGAATATGAGTACAGACAACAATGCAAACGGATCTTTGTTAAACGGAAAATTCGATTTAACAGATCATACCAGTCGAAATAGATTGTCATTAAAAATGTCTCCAACTTCATCGATAGATTGTTCAAATGATATTTGTGGTGCATCCAGTACTCACATAACATTAGGCAATCCCTCCAATTCACCAAACAGCTGTACGGAACAAGTAAAATTTAAACCCTTATTAAAGAAAAAAATCGGTCCAGATAATTATATAAATACAATTTTAACACGTAAAGTGCCAGCTAGTGAAATTAGTTATGAGTTTCCTATATTGACTAATGAAGCCATTGGTAGTGACACAATTCGGCAACACCGCCCCTTGACTAGAACTTTATCTAATGGTAGTAAATATAAGCCTTCAATACAAAGTTTATCAGATTCGACTAATTTTTATGGGTCACGGATTTTGCAAAGAAGTCCGCCATCGGGGTCCTCAACACGTAGTGCTTCGCCTTTGGAATTGTCTTCTTTATCTGAACCTGGTATAACATCACCAGTATCTCAATTGTTAGGTCCAACAAAACAAATTTTGAGACCCCAGCCAAGGTTACTTACACGAATTGGCGGGGCAGGTGCGTCGACAAGTAGTTTTGGAACATTAAACGGTGCTTCTGGGAATGTAAATTTGGTATGCCCACCTACGCCAACGCATCATGCACGTAGACAGAAACTTAACCCAAGTGTTGACGTTATTCAAACAAATACTACATCAGATGAAAGTCCAATAGAATTGAGTTTGCTTGGTAAAAATATATGAAAAGATTAATACCATTATATGACAAATTAAAATAATATTTATTTTTAGAAGGAGCTGCTTCAAATGAGATACTTAATACCATGATTCCTTCAAACCCAATCGAGTATGGAATTGAACAATCCAACCATTCAGAGATGACGAACTCTCACAATGTTAATGATTCAGAAGTGATTCATATATCAAGTGCAAGGCTGCCATCAATTCCAGAAAGAAGTGCTGGTATTAGTCGGGGAATACTGCCAGATACTGAAGATCCTCTGCCACCAGCTTGGGAAGCTAGAATGGATTCCCATGGTCGAATATTCTATATCGATCACACAACACGCACAACCAGTTGGCAAAGACCTGGTTCAACTGGGCCAGCGAGTGGTTTAGCAGGAGGAAGAGATCAACATCGTCAACAGTTAGATCGTCGGTATCAATCAATAAGACGCACAATTACTAGCGAAAATCGTTCATCAGGAGATACCACTCGTAGTTTCAATGTTTCTGATTCCGAACGGATGCAGTTAAATGGAACACATCCTGCTGTTCAAATGCTATGTAGACCTGATTTTTATTCAATGTTGCATACAAATGAAGAAGCTCTTTCAATATATAATCGAAATGCTGCCCTAAAACATATGGTCATTAGAATACGCCGCGATCCAAATAGTTTTCAACGTTATCAATATAATAAAGATTTAGTCGGTTTAGTCAATTCATTTGCACAAATAAATAAAGATTTGCCAGCTGGCTGGGACACGAAATTAGATCACTCTGGCAAACAATTTTTTATTGACCATGCAAACAGAAAAACATCATTTATGGACCCCAGGTTACCAATCGAATGTCCACGTATAAGACATAGACAACCGGCTAATGAAGTCAATGAAATTGCTCCAATTCCGCCACCACGACCACCAAATTCCTTACCAAGAAGTAATATGCAACAAGATAATCCTGAAGTACCAGTTGCTTATAACGAAAAGGTTAGTAGAAAACAAAAATAATTGATAATACATTTATTAATTCATCAATTTTTTTTCAAATTTGTAAAAAAAAGGTAATTGCATTTCTCCGTCAACCAAATATTTTGGAAATTTTAAGAGAGCGTCATAACCAAGTAACGATCTCAAGATCCTTACGCGAAAAAATTAATATTTTAAGAGTTGAAGGTATTCCCGCACTTGAAAGACTAGGTCATGATTTGCAGCTAACAATTCTATTAAGGTAAGCAATTTCGTTTGTACTTAAGTTTTTCTTTAATTTTCAGTTTTGCATTAAAAAAAATTGCAAAAATGCTTTATCCAAAATTTTTGCCGTTTAATATTATTTTTAAATAGCGTAATAATATGTTTCTTGTTTTTTATAAACTTTTGGAGGTATAGAAAACTTTTGAAATAATTTTAAGTTGGATACCGATAACGAAATTTCATTGTCAAGTTCATTTAACTTTCGGCATAATTTATGTAGATCTATACATAATTTAAATTTTGTTTCATTCAATCGATTACTGGCATAACATTTTAAATATTGCTTATTTACGTACATACGTATGATTAAAAATGTAAATATGTGTAAAACAAAATAGGTATATATAATTTTATTCTGCAAAACAGTTTGTGGGCATACATGCATCACCAGAATTTCAATGTTTCCTTTGCAGTAATAGTGAATTTATTGTTCTTAAAAGTATTATGAAAATTGCATATCAATAAACAGGTGTGTGTTTTGTATTGTTGTGTCGTTTTTGTTTTTTGCTTACAATGTAAAGGTTGCATACTGGAATAGCTTTAAATCTAGTAATATAATGAGTAACGTGTTGAATTAATATTGGCTGATATACATATGATTTCAGTTCTTTTTCAATTTTTGATTCAATTAAGCAGAACAACCTTGCCATTATACTTTTAATTATTTTTTTAAAGTATTAATTCTTAACTGTTGTTGTTCTTGAAGAGCACACAATTTTAGTTAGTTACAAAAAATAATATAATAAGTAATTGTAAACTATATGAGCTAAATTATTAATACATATGAATTCACTTAATATACCTAATCTTTGGTAATAAGTTAATTAAAATTTGTAATTATTTAAGGCCAATGTAGAAGGGTGTAATAAATTTTAATTAATTAAATGTGTACATAAAAGAATTTAGTAAATTTTGAATGGACGAATTCTATAATATTGTGAAGTTATAAAGGAATACAATGTTTATTTTAAGAACTCTGTAATTGATTCTTAAGAAAAATAATAATAAAATTGTCTCCCAAATATGTAATTTTGTTTATATTAAAGTTACATTTTGCGTATGTCGAATTACAATCTATGTATGAGAATGACTGGTCTAATGTATTTATGTCCCATCTTTCTGTTCTGCATTTATTATAAAATAATATAAAATTTATTTCAAAAATAAATTTAAATGGTTATTAAGAATAAAACACAAGTGCTTCTATGTCATACATCTTTGCGAACGTAGATAAATTCAGATTGTAAACGTAAAAATGAAGTTCATAATTTAATGAGAAGACGTCCAAATTTTGAAGTTGAATTTTAAAGTAAATTGACCATTATTTGGGTAATTAACTATCAAATTGGTCACAAAGATTTTATTGCAACTTTAAATAGTTGAAACAACAAATTACACATAAATATAATATGAAAACATAATTTTTTGTGCAATCCTAACAAAATTCTATTTAAACATTGCTAAAACATTAAAAATTGATTTATTTTTGCAAATTTGTAAAAAAAAATATATACATTTAATAATAGGTTTTATTAATGCTAATACATTTATAACATGCAACTAACTATTACTACAAAATACTGATTAGTAATCCCCGACAGTTACTGTTATAACATTTTGATGAAGTCAGATCATAAATTAATTAATTAAAACGTGACAGAACAATACAATCATAATTTTATTAAATAATATATTGAATAGATGTTTGTGTTTATATTTAATTTTATGACGAGTTTTAAAAAGTAAATAAATTTTTTATATCTTGTTATTATTTTTGTTTTTTAACTAAGTGACAGTAAAGTTAATGACTAAGAAGAACCAAAATAATTAAGCATAACATAAAGAACTGTTGCACAATTTATCATGTACATATTTACATATGTGTTTACTTTAATGAGTGTGCTATTTTATAAATTGTATTGTACTATAGAGCTACTGAGTCCACAAGTAATTTATGAATTTATCGTCTATTAAAATGTTTTAAAAATTCTCGCGATAAAAATTATTTGTTCTAAATGCATTTGCTTATAATAGCCTAGGTATTTCAAGTTATCTTTATTTTACTGCCGTGTTTTTTTTTTAGAAATTTAGATGGTCAAAAAGTATTGTTAACGAGATTTTTTAGTTAACATTTTTATTAAAATATGTGTTTACATTCGCATTCTATTTGATATCAAAAAAATTAATGTAAACAGAACATATTTACACGAACATATTATTTGATTGTTAAAGATTTTTTTTTAGAGGTTGTGAACATTTTGCAGTATTCCGTAAATTATAAACTATTCAAATAATAAAATGTTGTTGTGTAATTTTATGCAATTAATAAAAAATATTCCTTCCCTTTACCGAACTACATAAATCTAATCTGTCGATAACTTGTTATTTCGAATAAAGAAAATTCGATTTATTGCACCCTAATCAAGTAAAATAATTTTCTTTTAAAATAATAAATAATTAAATTGTTAATTTCATAAATAGGCTAGTATAAAGTGATAAAAAGCGGAAATTTTTTTGGAGTGTTTTAATTTGGTTGTGGGTGCAGTTGTGAAATATTTTTTCAAAAGATTGTGCAGTATATAACGTACAGCTATTTATTTCTTTTTTCTTTTAACCCTTCTATAATTTTATTGCCAATTATGACATCATAAGTACTACAATAATGTATGAGTATTTCTATTAAATGAGTACAAATTTGTGTTGTTGTAACTTTTGATTAATCATTTCTACTTTAATTGGGCGTTTTTGTATTTATTGGTCTTCTTTTTCGTAATTGGAATATATTAATTTCTTTTATTTTGAAACACACATATTATCAAAAATTATTATTTGCTCTAACATACAGACGTTATCCTATATATGCATATCTATAGGCTGTATGTGTACATTTCATGTAGTACGTAAATAGTTTATAAGGGTCAAATCAGTTTGTAATATACAGTAGAATCTCTTTATGATCAAAACATGAAATTCCGTAATACACTATATAAGGACGAAAGTTTTGTTCGTAAAATAGAGATTTCATAATTGAGAGCCGTCAAATTCTATTATTAAAATGAATCCTATTTCCAGATTAATTGTTATTTAGATAGAGGTTCTTATTACGTGATGTATTCATTTTTCATAATATACTTTACTATAATATAATAATAATTTAAAAGCCAATACTAATATCATTAAAACATAATCACAACAAAAAAAAAACATTTTATAAATTTCGTGTGGAATTCATAAGTTTTTTTTAATACAAACAGCTTATAGCAGGGGTGGCCAGACTTGGTCATGGTAAGAGCCAAAACTCAAAATCTTGAATTTTTTGCGAGCCGCAATGATATAAATTATAAATTATGTAATATCTGGCTGAAAATGTCTTAGTCCTACAAATAAAAAAGAGTTAGAATTAAAGAAAAAAAATATGATATTTTTATACTTTACTGGTTGATGCATGTGGCTTGGTTTGTATTGCAAATTTCTGAAAATCTGGCTTACAATTGATTGTAAGCCAGATTTTCAGAAATTTGAAACTCAGACAACTCAGATTTTGTAAAATTTGACGTTTAAGAATTTACCAATATATACAAATTATTTTTCCATACGTTAAGTAAGCATTGACAAAATTAAAAAGTGTGGGAAAAGCTATACTCTACTGCGTTTTTACTTTCAGTCAAATTTCTATAAAAAAATTTTTTTTGGGAATATTTTTTTTCGACTTGAGCTGCACTAAAAATATTTGTTAATTTTTTCTTCGAGAGCCGCATGAAATTGGTTGAAGAGCCGCAGTTTGGCCATGTTTGGCTTATAGCATGATAAAAATTCATTTTTAAGACATTTGAAAATTATCAATCATAAAGAAATTTATATTTTAACGCTACAATATTATAATTTTTATTATTAAATGCATATCATAATTAAATATTATTTAAACTAAACCGTGGCTCTTAATTATATTTTTATTTAAATACAAAAAAAAATTTTTTTATGAAATTTTAAATAATTAAAATAAATTTATTTTCAATAAAAATTTTATGTTATGACATCGTAAATTTACAGGTTAGGCTATGTATAATTGATACATAGTATGTAAATAATTAAAAATTTTAATAATTATATAATTTTTACTTGACAACAATAAGATATCATTATAATTGAAAATAAAATTTTACTCAAACTAGTTGCTAATTAGTGTATGTTATTGTATAAAATAACTATTCTTTAAATGTACAGAAATGTACGTGAAATTTTGTACTGCCGCTATATATTAAAAGTTTATTGAAGATGGTTATTGTTATTTTTTTTAAATTGTATAATTAACAGGAGTGGACTAAGTAATAAAATGTGGTTTTACTAATTTAAAAGTTAATAAAATTAAAAATGGGGAAAATTGAGATAATCTATTAATTTTTCGCTTATATCATTGAACAATATTGTTAAAAAAAAATTAATAATTTAAAGTAAAATTACAAAATTCAATTGAATTTTTCGATTGCATTTGATAAATTTGATAAATTTAATACATATGTTTTTAAAAACAGAAAATATTTATTTCTTGTCATCTCAAATATAAAAAAAAAGCTCGCGTCATTGTGAAAATATCATTGTCGCCATTTTTATACTAAGTACAAACTACCATTTTCGATTTATGCTGCTCTCTATAATGGACGATAAAATCTTCATGTCAAGTAATAATTATTATGTTTTATTTATTTATTCTTTCAGTCTTGTAATTGATTCTCTCAATCACAATGAATTCAATGTAAATTACTTTTAAAAAGTAAAATTTTTTAATTATGTAAATTTGCTGTATTTTTTTTTTCTGTACACAAATTAATTATTCCATAATCACCTTTTTATTTTCATTATTATAATATTGAAACAAAAAAGTTTTTAGTAATTAAATGGTAATTTAAAGAACAAAAAATGACTATTTAGAATAATTTTAGAGTATTATGCATTTTATAAGAGAAATTTTATAATTCG